TTAATTATAGAAATAAATCAAAATAAAAAATAAAAAAATATAATCATGGTGTCAATAATATACGAATAAATTCTAAACAATAGTTAATATGTTTCAATTTTAATTTTTTACCATTAATAAAACTATTTATTATATCTGGTCATTATCTCTTAAATGGTAAATTATATTAATTTGAAGAACGATTTGTTTTTTACATTTAACAAAATAAAGCTTAAGAAACGAATATATTGACAAAGATTAATTCACCCACTTGATTTTGTCTAATTACTTGGAAAAAAAAAATTCTTCCTAACCTGTTACGGTTTTTCATTAATATTTTTGGATAAAAAGTGAATATTTGTGAAAAAAAAAAAAACTAATGTTATGGTCAACACTTAAAATATGGTGTAATATTATCTTGACCAAAATATTATCAACATGGATCACATAAATCAATTTTGTAATTTATTATAATGAATATCAATGAAAGTATTACAAATATTAATAAAATAATATTTATTTTGACCAAAATATTATGAACATGAATCACGAAAATCACATGTAATTTATTATAATAAAAATCAATGAAAATACTGCAGATATTAATAAATTTATTTAAGTAATTATTTCATCATATGTTATTTGATCTTATTTGAATACGTGTAAATAGAAACAATTAATGCATATATTTAAAAAAATTCCAAAAATAGTATGCATTAAATGTTTCCTAAATTTTTGCTACTATATTTAGTAAATGGTAATTCTTTATATATATATATATATATATATATATATATATATATATATATATTATCGTTAGTATACATATATATCATAATATATTACAATTAAAAGAGGTTGTTGGATTTATTAAAATTAGAAAGTATTTACTGGTCAAATTTTGTTTACTTTCCAATAGTAGTAATTGTTATTATGATTTAAGAAAACGGTTTTTTCTGTTTCCTGATTTTTCAAAAACAGAAAATCTTAATGTATTTGAAAGACAAATATTTTTTCCTTACCTAATGTATCAAATTTTTGTGTCGATAAATTTAAAAAATCGATCAACTTATTTATGTTATTCCCATTAAACTGGCCGGGTCAAATTTTATGTTGAACTAAAAAAAAAATTGTAATTTTTTTTTTTTGCTTGAATTATTTTAGTTAATGAAATTAAACTATGTTAAATTGAAAAACTCCTAGAATATCATGACCATTAAATTGGGCAGATTTTCATATCCTTACTACATATCACCATGAAGAATTCGTACAAATCTTGGAATCATTTCAGCGATTTTCCAACTGAAAAAGTTTGATAACTTAATAACATTTAAAGCGGTATTGCTTTTTAAACAATCGCTTTATAGATATCCATTCACGATAAAATGTTCAACATTTATAAATATTCATTTACTCAGTTTTATGTTCACTGCAAAAATAATTTGATATTCTGAGTGTTTGTAAAATACGTGTCAAAATTTTATGCGGAACTCACAAAGAGTTATGATTTTTTTTTCTAAAATTATTTTTATTAACCAATTTAAAACATGTTAAATATAGTGAATTTATGAAAATATACATGGTTAGTTTTCTAATTCAATAGAAACAAACATAATCAACATATATAATTTTATTAAAAACAAACATAACCAAGGTGCGGCAGTTCCCAATTATGATTTCGTATGTCATGACTATAAATAAGATTCAAAAAACCAATCATTATCCCATGTTGGTTTGATTTTGAAGGATCAGTTATACGTTGCTCCCGTGTCACAAATCAAAACTGTTTGAAAATATTAGTTTGTGTTGACAATGACTCTCCAACAAATCAAACACAAAATATTGTATATAAAAATATGTTCAATAATATAGGATATGACTTTGCCGTCTTACTATTGGGTTGTGCATTATTGTCATATGTATAATAACTCTTTCACAATTTAATAACCTTCAAATTTTGAAACATCAAATAGCGATATTTGCGGCCAATAAACTAAACTATGACTTACATGTTCTTATAATTCCCAAAAAAAAAAAAAAAAAAAAAAAAAAGTTCAAAGGAAACGCGGATATCCTAAGTTACTCGAAAATAGAATCTAATAACGAACGTGATTCAGTTTATAATTGCACAATTTCGTCACAGGATCACTATTATTTTTTTATATTTTGAATCAATATGAAAATATATTTTGAAACTTGCGATGAATTATTAAAATACTAACAACAATAAATTATCTTTTCCTTATTTGTTAATTTCATATTTAGATTTATAATATTAAGTGATTTGAAATATAAATTACAATATATGTATAAATCTAGTATTCTATGACATTATGAAATACAATAATATTTATTTATTTATTTATTTTATTTTCAACATTTTAATAACGCTCAATCTTTGGATATAGAAATAGATGTAAGCTACAATACAATACAATCAAACATATAGAGATTAGTCGGTTCCCTGTGGATCCGGAAACCGGAAGGTTCCTGTACCAAAAAAAAAAACATATATGATCAGCCTTTTTTCATTAAGTCAGATCTAACTTGCTAAATTCCCAATCCCACTCCTTGAATCTCTTATCTGAAAGATGTTACGGTCCCGTTATGAAACCATTTATCGGCCATGGTGGAGAAACCCTAAATCGCCGCCGTCGCGAAATCCAAAACCACCATCTGGATCGCTGTGGCCAACAAACCCTATCCCGCCGCCGTCGCGACATCCAGTGCCACCATCTCTGTAACGCGCACGGAAGCTGTCGGCAAATGGGTTGTCTACTGTCAAAGTTTCGTCCGAGTCTTCGCCGGTCTGCAGTGGTGGTGGTGATCGTCGACGGGGCACCCCGCCGAATCCTCGACCGCCACGACCCCCACGCTGTCCCACGCGAGCGCCCCGGTCAGCAACATCGCGATTTTGACGCATCTCGTCCATCATTGTACGCATTGTCAGTCGTAGTTCCTCGAACCCCGTTGATAGGTCCGTAAGTCGTTAGTCAAATCCGTCAAAACGCTCATCAATCCTCTGAAATCGTTCATCAACGGAATTGTCGATTACGGCGTTGTCTTTCCTCGGCGGCATCGTGGATCGTCGGCTGGTCTGCTGATACCAACTGATGTAGAACGTGATACGAAAAGGGAACAAGGATGAGATACTCTCTCGTGAATGACAAACGTCAGATAAATTTCATAAAATTCCAATCTGCTTTCTACGCAGCAATACAACAGGTTAAATAAAAGAGAGTCCAATCTTGCTAAACAACTGCAAGATAATTATTTTCCTAACTAATTAAAATCAATACGAAATAAAGATAATAATAATGATGTACGTGACTAATCAAATCAACGCCGAAAGTCGATCGTATTTGTCCAGAAACTCCAACGCGAACTCGTCTCCATCAGGTTTGTAACTGTTATATCATCTATCTCTGATGATTGCATGATGATCTAACGGTTAGAAACCCCGACAGAATGATTCCGTAACGAGACCTTAGCATTCTCCTTTCTTATAATATATGTTATCATTCCCACTCTTTGAATCTCTTATTAATTTGGAAGATGTTACGGTCCCGTTACGGAACCATTCTGTTGAGATTTATAACCGTTAGATCAATTATCTCTTACATGATGATCTAACGATTACAAACTCCGACGAAATAATTTCGTAACCAGCGCTCAGCATTATATGTTATCATAAATCAGATCACACTTTGACAAATTCAAACGAATTTATTTTATTTTATTTTTTTCCCAATGATAATACATAATATTACACTGCCGGGTTCCCACTAGCCATAATTTTTCAATGATTATAAGAAGCTCACTTGGGCTTTACCCTTTTAATTTGTCCTACAACATTATACCAAAATCAGTTGTTGACCTTTTTGTTCCTCAAAACACAATGACTGACTATCAAAACAAGGTACTAATAATTCTCCTCTTCACTTTCATCATCAACATCGTAAATTCCTCGCCACTACCCGACGAC